TTTTGCAACGTGAACATCGGAATCGCTGACTCATCTCAAATAGTTGAATGCCCTATTAAGAGCAATTGAACCATCTTCTTTTTTCTGATACAGATAAAGATGTCTGATATTTTTAAAAAGAAATCTGAACACTTGACAATGTTAAATATTATTTGTATTACATAAGTCTGCTTGTATTTACGTTTTATTAAATTAAGAATAAAAACGAGAAGATAATGCAGGTACATGCATTAACACATGCGAGGCTATTTACATTTACAATGTCAGAAAATGTGTATAAAAGCTGAAAATTGGATAGTGCTAAGGGAATTGGGATTCGAATAAGAATCTTGCGGATTGTCTCGCTGGTGAGCACGTTCGGTAGTGACCTCTTTAATTGGCTGTCCGCCAGCCTCGTCTCGTCGATGTCTTCTTGTTCCAGCTATATTTGCCTCCAAGGAGATTCGTGGACGATGACGCGTTGTCCAGCTCGGTGAGCCACGACCGAGGGGAGGTTCCGCGATGATTTACGAACCTTGGCGCCTTCCCGAATCCTGCCCTTTCGTCTTTCTTCCACTTCTCTCGTCGTAATACCTCCTCCGGGACTAGACAAAAGAACCATCGATGATTTCTATCATTTTTATCTTGTACCACATTTAATTATCTCTTTTGCATCAGGTTTAATAAAAATCAGGTAGGAGTCAATGAACTTTGATGAAAACATAATGATAGATTTTATAACATGATTTCAATGAAATTACGGCGTCAATATTCAATCCGAGGATTCATTCGTCTGAACCGAATATTCGCAATGAACACACATAGCCTCTAGTTTTGGTCTTGGCCTCTGGCTGGCTATTCGCTTAAGCACTCGCTACGAATTAGTATCGATTCAACTACGCCGATGAGCGCTCATCTACTCAATTCGGTACAACGGAGAGTGTGTACGTCCATGGTCGCAACGCGAACCAAATGTCCGCGCGAGTACACGCTTCTAACAACGCGTCCCGAGCGCTTTGAGGCTTTAGAGCCGATTCGGTATGTACAAAGAATCCGACGCAAATTGGACAATTAAATGTACGAGCGGCTTCTAAGACCAGTCCGCTAATGCTCGATCTTCTCGCGGCTTTAAACGTTCCGTTGACTTTGTCCGGCTGGAATGCAGTCGGGAACGCTGTTAGGATTATTGGCTGGTATTCAGCTCGCATTCCTAGCAGGACTTTCAAAAAGATGTTCATCTCGCCTTATTTTTAATTAAACTTTCGTCGCGGCGTCAATTATGGAAAGGTAATAAAAGTTTGCGATACTGTCGTAAGGACTTGGGAAGCATCGGATGTAAATTGGAAAAATTACGCGGCAGTGACTATACGTCTGGCTATAGACGGTCCTATTCTACTGGCTACTCTTTCGTCGACCGCGTTTCGTTATATTACCGTCGTTTAAATAATTGCTTGTTCATACTTTTTACCACTGACGATACAATACCGAATAACTGTTGAAGGAAAACTTAATTAACCCATTTTAAACAACATTTCGAGGTACAAATTAAATTTCTCTGTTGAAGCAATTTGCACAAGCGAGTTTCATTTCCATCGCATAACATATTTACAATGAAAATAATTACGTCTTTTTCCTGCAACTTTTTCCTCTTATAAAATGCTCGCTCTTGTAACGCAGTTACTTCATTGCATAGTTTAAAAAGCTCTTAACATGAATTCCCGTTGAAACGCACGAAGGCCGCGGTAGTTTTAACTTCTTTTTAAAAGGATAATTCGATGGTTCGTTCGCGCGAAATTAATCGTTCGCACGGGATATAGCGTAATTAGTTTCGTGGCGTGACTACGTTAAACCTTTCAATTAACTGCGACATTGGGACCGGCCGTAATTGCATTGGAAAAAGTCCTGCTTTAAAAAGCTTCACGGTTACCGATCCATCACTTAGTCTTGAATGATTTATATCCACCCTGCATGATTTATTAATAACATCGAATTGCACGGAATTGAATCTCAAAACTGAAACAACACCAACGTATTTGTATCTCCGTTTCCATTGAACTCGTCTAGCGACAGGCGTAATGTTAAATTAATTACGTTTATTTTTCGTTAAAGTAATTAACGGCGATGTATTTCTCAACTATAGCTTTTGCCTATTTATTGGACGAGTAGCCGGACGAGTTTTATTCGTTCACGCTCGGTTTAGAAAATATTTAATAATACCATGAAATTTAATGGCAAAAGTTTCCTCTTTAAAAGTTGAGAACATTTTCCAACTAGTATTAGGTACGATATAGAGATTAAACAGAATTTATTATTGAGTATTCCTTTGTCTTCAGTAGCTAAATTTCTTTTTTGTTTCGGGAATTTTCAACTTCCCGTTAGGTAAATCCGGAAGTTAGACTGAAACTGGCAAGATTTTATGTACAAAGTTTCAAGAGTAAATGAAAAGAAGTTAAAAAATTGTTTTTCAAAGGCAAGTAAAAATTCAGTGGCTGAAGCTCAATAAATTCTAGCCTTGGTTTCTCGAACTTAAATTAACTGCAATTCACGAGTTTATATGAACCAATATAGAAAATGGTTGTTATTCAAAGACCAGAATATTCAAAGGTTCTGTAATATTACTTATTATCCTTCTAAGGTACTTCGGTTTCAAAATAAGCAAATTATGTTCATAGTTCTCGAACCACCTAAACGATGATTCTTTCCCTATTCGGTTTGCCTGAAATAAATCGGCAAAGGAATGTTTGATATGCATCAATCAACTATTCCAAATAACTATTATACTGCAAAAAGATTTACATTGACTGTATTCAGGAACAGTTCCGTTGAAATTAGATTTTGGAAGGGATGCGAGTGGCCCTTGTTAGGAGGCGGAAAGATTCGTTCTCTTCAATGGGTTCGTCACTTGTCGGGAAATGAAGAATTTAGCACGATACGCGTAGCATTCGTGGCATCGTCTCTCGTGGAACGAGACGGCGGCGACTGGCATCTCGGCCGTGTTCTCTGGTCGTCATCTAAGTTTAGAGAGGTAGCGCGCATACCTGCTTCGCCCAGAAGCCTAGGCGGTGACATTATCGTGAGGTCAGAGCGTGTCAACGAGATCTGGCTGGACATCGACTACGAACGTGAAACTAATTATAGGTTCCGAGTAGCGAACTGTTTGCACACGCGCGTATACGTGACGCTCGCTAGTAAAGTAGAATACAGTGTTATTTGCTCGATTGTCCTCATGCGAGATATTAAATTGTAATTTGAAACGTTAATTCAAAGCGAACGAAATGTTTCTTAATAATTCTCAGCCAGACAATCGTCAGAAGACATTAATTTGCAACTGTTTCTCAACATTTTTTATTCATAGTTTCTCGTTCACGGAGGAATTAACATTCTATTCGCATAAGAAGAACAGATTCTAATCTCATATGTATATTTCGATTCATGAGAATCATACTGTACGCAGTATTTCTAGCTTACCGCGTAATGAGAGATCCTATTTGAATCCTACGACACGGTGAACGTTCATCTATTTCCTTGTACTCGATTCTTTTCATCGTATCACTTATTTTATTTCTTTCTACACAATTGTATTAACCTCGAACAGTAAGAAAACGCGACCGAATGACAACGATGTTGAACACTAGCCTGGCTCCGTTCTAGAATTGGCCAGTCTGCCAATTTAGTCAGATCCAATTACTATCTCCGCGTTTCAGCGTGCCGCGTGTATTATACAGAAATTCCTACGATCTCCATGAGATAAATTTTTACATTTTCCATACAATAAAAAATATATCATCGTTAAACTAATGAAATTCGTGTTGTTTTACAATTCATTAAAGAGCACAATAATTATTCACAGTATTATAATACATAATACCGTTCCTGTGGAATGAAGGACTGATAAAATTATAAAGATGTGATAAAGGTTCGTCGGACACTCCCGTCTGCAATAATTTGATGTCACTCTGAAATAGAAACATTCTACCAGAGTTTAATTATAGTTCGGCAAGCGTGTGCACTGTGTGAGTGCAATTTAGGGTGAACTTCACACCGTGCTCGTTCGAATAATATCCTAGAATAATCGTGGAGTCCGAAAATAGTTAATATGAGAATTTCATAATGAAATTATCAACACGGACCAATTGATCGCTATCGAATGACGAAACGTTATCGTGATTAGTATTAAAAGTGATAAAACGATGTACGGGTCTTCGGCCGCGGATAATCTAACAGGTGAAATATATGATGATATTAAAAAGCGGCCGTCCGTACGTATCGACAACGGAATGCGTGGCGGAAATCGTTTCTGATTGAACGCGCTCGGAATTAATTACAGGCAAACACGCCGCATATATTAATCGAGTAATTGGGCGCTAGCGAGTGATTACAAGTGTCAGAAGCACGCGTATCGCGTGGAAACGAGCCCGCGATATCGCTCACACGCTCAACGCCGCACGTTCGTGTCCGAATAATCACCGGTTTTCGAAGACGAGGCAGGCGGCAGTGAGCGATATTCGTTTCCGACGTCTGTCCGAGAACTATAAACCTCCAATCATTTAAACGATACGAACAGACTCCGGCATTGTACCAGCAAGTTCAGTTTTTTTTTTTTTACCTAATATCGCACTATTAATATAATTATAATTCATATATCATTCATTATAATTATAATTCAGATATCATTTCTGTATAAGTTGGGCATTTAAAATTTCAAGTACTGAAAGTGCTCACTTTTACACCTTTAAGCGAATAAAATTTATACACTTCAGGGAGCTCCTCTCGGTTGAGATAAAAAAAACACTTTAAAAAATGTACTTCTTACCATCGCCAAGACGGATACAGCTTTTTAATTTATTACTGAGAAAGTGTAACGGTAACGTGGTAGAAATTTCCTTGGTTTTCCTCAGAGTTTACTAACCGAAGAACGCAGTGGCTTTTAGATCTTACGTTCTCGGAAGGCGCGCTGTATTTAATCGCCGCAAAATTGTTTGCGTCGTTCTAACGATATTTTGTGTGTTCGTTTGTTGCAGGAGGTCGGAAGCATCATTGGGAAGAAAGGAGAGATCGTCAAAAGGTTCCGGGAAGAGGTAATTAAACGTTATTATTATCTTCTACGATGGAAATCGACTCCTACGCTGTTCCATCGTTTCTTAATTAATGTTGCAAGTCGGTAGAAAAATCTTAATAGAAAGAAACTTGAACCTCGTTATATCGTCGAACAACCAAGTATCTGACCATCATGAATCACCCTGCTTCGTCTATTGTTAATTTGAATAGGGAGTTATTAACTGAAAGTATTTATCACCCGACGGTGGCTCACTTTCCGTTTCGAAGTTCGAACACTGACTTACAATTAGTCATCGGCGAACTAAGGTCATCCGCCCTCCGTACGTTTTGATGTATGCGCCCGAAAACTGCACTCTCGGCAAGTTCGCGTCAGCTGCAATTAGTCCGTGTCAGAAATTCGACAGGTCGATTTGTTGCGCGGTACGCGCGTGCACCGAGAAACTGTTGCCAAACTCGTGTTTCGTTACTGGGTATGTATTCAGAGATACGTATTAATCTCCCGTTGCTCGGCTTGAACAATACCCTCGTTACTTATCATCGCCGCGTTCGAGTAAGAATTCATTTTCCGATATCGTATTTATAAAAAGGCTTTTATTTACTTTAATACATGCCGCGTACGCGTCCCACGGCGGTGATTCTATTTTTCACGGTTTACGAGCATCGCGGTAATCGATGCACGCCTAATTCGCCGACCAACACAACGAACTCTCCTCACCGTCGGGTAGTGCCGCGGCTAGGGTGGTGTAACAAAGAGATTTAAAATAGCTTTCAGCGACCTACATACATTCATAGGTTGTTGTATTCGCTTAGTGAGCCTCTTCTGCGTGATAAATAAAACAGTGCACCGTCCCATAAAAAAAAGCGTTCACTAGGGAAGAGCGCTACAATTTTGCTCGACGGAATCGACGCTGACAATTTACTGTTGTTTCAATTCCTACGTTGAAAAATTGTTTTTAAATAATTTTAATATAACTGCACGCGATGTGACGACACGACGGTGATAACCCGCAGTGTTTTTTATCTTCGCCCGCCTCCGGTGTTAACGATATGAAATATATTTTTAATTTCTTCCTCCCAGTTGTGAAAAGTCGAATGGTACGAAACAATATTTCGTATTTGTTTCTCACGTGATTCGAACTTAAACGTGACAATGGATCTTCGCGAGAGGAGAAGGTCGCCGGGAATTTTATTCAGTTTCTTCGGAAGTACAGGCCGCGATACGGTTTCCCAACAATGTCACGCGAGGCTATTGAATAGTTTAATTCATCGTCTATTGTCCAGTATTTAATCGGTCGAGTGGCTCGCGGACGTTTTGAAAAATGTTCCCCGCGGTCGTCGGTTATCGCGCACAATAATGACTCCGCGACGGAACGCGGCACGACGAAATTATAAATAATGTATGTGCAGCTTGGAAAAAGCGGGCGCTGCGACAGCACGGATCTTGGATATCTCTCGCTGATTTCACTTTATAATTTCGACGCCGGTGACACGGTAAACGTGGTGCATCGACGTCGAACAATAATCTTGATAGCGGTGTGACATTTGAAGTTTCTAGAATTGTTGACGCTAGACACTGATAAATCTAGAACTCATATGTATATTAAAAATTATAATTCTGAGTTTCTAAAGTGCATAAACTTTTGGGATTGACTGTATAGCCAATACATCCTTAAGCTGCATGTAATTTATATCGTAAAAGGAAGAATAATATAAAGAATGGAAGTTGATCGTATTCGAGCGAACAAAATGATTTCCTTTTGTACAGTCCGGGGCGAAGATCAACATCTCGGACGGTTCTTGCCCCGAACGAATAGTGACAGTGACCGGGCCGACGAACTCGATCTTCAAAGCGTTCACGTTGATCTGCAAAAAGTTCGAGGAATGGTGCTCGCAGTTCCACGACATTCAGGGCGGTGGCGGAGTGCCCAGGCCGCCGATCACGCTCAGGCTGATCGTGCCCGCGTCCCAGTGCGGCTCTCTGATCGGCAAGGGCGGCTCGAAGATCAAGGAGATCCGCGAGGTGACCGGCGCTTCGATCCAAGTCGCCTCCGATATGCTGCCGAACTCGACGGAACGCGCGGTCACCATTTCCGGTACCAGCGAGGCCATCACGCAGTGCATATATCACATCTGCTGTGTTATGCTAGAGGTACGTACGCTGCTTCTCCAGGATTGACGAGCTTCGGCCGGTCAGCGTTTCTCCCTTGAGAAAACAACGAAAAGAAAGGAGCGGATCGTAACTTACGCCAATGAATTTTACGAGTTTTCCAATATTAGACGAGATAAAACAAGCGTCTTCGTCAGCTCTGTTCGGATCAACAGTTTTACGCCCAACCCTGGCGTTATCGTTTCTAAAGTCTGACCAGTCGTAGATCGTTATTTCCGTATAGTGTATAAACTAAGAAACGTCATCCTGCTTAAATTCAATCAAGTTCAGGATTTGGGAAGCTCTTTAGAGACAATGAATGATTACTTAAGTAATCTTATTTTGAAAGATAATGTAAGCAAAAACCTATAATTTAGATGATCGTGTTTATCATTAGACTGCGGATGTTTGTTATGCAAGTTCATTTTATTTTCGTACAGATAATATATGATGTAAAATATTCGAAGACATGCAATTTTAGTTACGTCACTTTATATCCATATAAAACATCCGCGTGCTCTTCAGTTACTAAACTAGGGTGACGTTTCCGTAATAGCTCACTTAATCCATCGAAGTAAGAAAGAGCCATCAGACACATGTATACGAGAGTGTCCTATAAAGTGAAAGGACCTCTCGTCCTAATTTTCAGTGAGCACGATCAGTGTATTCGCACTCGTGCGTATGTCATTTTCTGTTTCAGTCCCCTCCCAAAGGTGCCACGATCCCTTATCGCCCCAAACCCCAAGTTGGTGGGCCAGTGATCCTGGCTGGTGGGCAAGCATACACCATCCAGGGTAATTACGCGGTGCCCGCCCACTCGGACGTAAGTACAGTATTGCCATTGCCCGCGCCCGCTGCCGGGCCCACCCCGCCCTCGCTGAACACCCAAACTTTGACGACTTCGCCCTTCGCGGCCCACCCTTCGTCCTCGGCCTTCGCCGCTTCTCACGGGCATCCGCTCCTATCCACGGCCCACCTTACTACCCCACATCATCCTCTCCACCCGAGCCCCTTACACGCCAGCGTGGCAGGCCTCGCCGACCCCCTGCTGAAGAGTGGACACTTGCAGGCAGCCCTCCCGCNAGATAAAACAAGCGTCTTCGTCAGCTCTGTTCGGATCAACAGTTTTACGCCCAACCCTGGCGTTATCGTTTCTAAAGTCTGACCAGTCGTAGATCGTTATTTCCGTATAGTGTATAAACTAAGAAACGTCATCCTGCTTAAATTCAATCAAGTTCAGGATTTGGGAAGCTCTTTAGAGACAATGAATGATTACTTAAGTAATCTTATTTTGAAAGATAATGTAAGCAAAAACCTATAATTTAGATGATCGTGTTTATCATTAGACTGCGGATGTTTGTTATGCAAGTTCATTTTATTTTCGTACAGATAATATATGATGTAAAATATTCGAAGACATGCAATTTTAGTTACGTCACTTTATATCCATATAAAACATCCGCGTGCTCTTCAGTTACTAAACTAGGGTGACGTTTCCGTAATAGCTCACTTAATCCATCGAAGTAAGAAAGAGCCATCAGACACATGTATACGAGAGTGTCCTATAAAGTGAAAGGACCTCTCGTCCTAATTTTCAGTGAGCACGATCAGTGTATTCGCACTCGTGCGTATGTCATTTTCTGTTTCAGTCCCCTCCCAAAGGTGCCACGATCCCTTATCGCCCCAAACCCCAAGTTGGTGGGCCAGTGATCCTGGCTGGTGGGCAAGCATACACCATCCAGGGTAATTACGCGGTGCCCGCCCACTCGGACGTAAGTACAGTATTGCCATTGCCCGCGCCCGCTGCCGGGCCCACCCCGCCCTCGCTGAACACCCAAACTTTGACGACTTCGCCCTTCGCGGCCCACCCTTCGTCCTCGGCCTTCGCCGCTTCTCACGGGCATCCGCTCCTATCCACGGCCCACCTTACTACCCCACATCATCCTCTCCACCCGAGCCCCTTACACGCCAGCGTGGCAGGCCTCGCCGACCCCCTGCTGAAGAGTGGACACTTGCAGGCAGCCCTCCCGCCCGCACACCTCGTGGCAGACGCCGTAAGTCTTTTGTTTTTCGTGATCCACCCCCCCGTCCTCCCGTTACCGAAACCACCGACCCCCTGCCAACGAAAAAAAGAGATACCACCACCCAGACCTTCGAAAATTGAAAAAAGAAAGGAACCGGTACACACACCTCACCTATCTTTTGAATATCACGTATCACGCGTACATACGTTGTACGAAGCAGCGCGGGCGGACCCTTTATTTCTATATAAATTTACATATTGTTGTCCCGATCCCCCACCTTACAACCCTCGAGTTTTCAAACTTTGATACGTTGCATTACCATAGACTTCTGTCTATTTTTCTCTATACTTATTGTAAGTTCTGATCACGGATTGATCTCGTACACTGCTACGCTGGACCGTACGCGGTAATTGGTGGAAATTCGGATGGAGCATTCGCTGTAGCAGTTGATGTCCTTTTGTTAAAAATCGGGCGCAAGAAACGGATCGAGAAGGTGATCGATAGGGTAGTTACGGAATGGGCGACTGGGTCGGTCTAATCGGCTTCAATTTATTTTTATCTGGATTTTTATACCGCGCATCCTTGACATAACGAATAGAACACACTTTTTATATTTTAAATCCAATTCCAATGTCGAGCATTACAATATTCAGATACTTTTAAGTAGACCAAATTATTAATATTAGACTCGTGATACAGGATTTAATTTTCGTATCATAATTAAATCGAAACAAGGATATTGTATACCCTTAGAGATTTTTATGATTTACAGTTTACAATATCTAGAAAGTTGCGGATTTTGAACAATTCAGAAGTCAATATTTCGGTGGTGGTCACCCATAGCATTCGATATCCAATTTTCACCAAATACCGTAGCGTCGCGTAGAATATTTGCCCGCGTGTACCGGAATGCCTCTACTGTTATATGTATAAGCCACCTGGTCCCCATCCTAGGAAAAAATCCCTTTACTACCCGTACCCATGATCCACGTACGTGCACCCCAAACACACCACTTGGCTTTCTGCTCGACGTTCTCCGGGTGCAACTTCGAGTGAGTCATCTCCGAAATTCATCTTCCTTCAAATTATATTAAAAAATATGATAGCTCGTAGCGTTAAAGATTGGAGCTTATGAAGGAGCATCAAATTATTAAGGTTTATTTAACATTGTCAGAGGTCTGGCAGAATTTTAAATCTTTTAAAAGATATAATAGATATTTTTGAAGGAAGGGAAACTCTAAGTTGCATTTCACACCTCTTTGTGTTTTTCCTGTTCTCGCAACCTCGCGAGTAATCGTCTCTTAAATATTCATATAACGAGCATTTCGTTCTTCGAATTTATTCATTCATGGAGTTTCTTTGAATTTTGTTCCATTAACAAATGGAGTCTCCTGATTTGATATTTACTTTAAGAGATTATTTCTTGCCGAGGTGACGCGCCAGTATAGTAATGTGCTTTGCTTTTTATGTGATCCGCACGTGTCTGTTACGTGTATCGACCGTCTCTGAATTTTTCTTGTTTCTCCCGTTCTCGTTTACTTCTCGCTTCCATTTCGTTTTTCTGAAATATTCACCCGACCGCCTCTGACATTATACTATCTCTCTTTCTTTCTCTCTCCGTCTCTGTTACTGTCTCTCTCTCTTTCTCTGTCTGTTATTAATTAAGCCATGGTCTCGGTGTGTGTCTCTGTCTCTACCTCCCATTTTTCTTACGCTTGCGATTGGTAGTGGGTTGTGATGTCGCCTTTTGTGAACCGCTTGCCGTCCTTCAACCGGTGCACGGAGAATTTTATCTTCTCGTTGCATGCGAACATAATTATACACGATCGGTACGGCACGCGCGATAATTACAATTATGGTTGCGACGTAGGAAAAACGTACGATGAAATATACAATCGATTTTTTGTCGAATAAAAGAGAGTAGCGTTGAATCGAGGTTCAAGATCGTCACCGCGGTTTCGTTTCGCACAATCGACTCCTTGCCACTGGCAATTGATTTCATTTGAGATTCTTACCGCTCTGGCAATAAAACAGTTGATAAACGCAAGTTCGAGACCACTTCTGTTCTTTTTTATAATAATAATAGTACTGTTTGGAAAAATGAATAAAAGGCTGCACTGTCAATGGGAACAATGGACGCGTATATCACGTCGCGTATGTCATCCTATTAAATGTCGATTGATAACTATGGAAAAGAGAGTCGCAGTTATTACGCGTATATCACGTCGCGTATGTCATCCTATTAAATGTCGATTGATAACTATGGAAAAGAGAGTCGCAGTTATTCAGTCTCGCGAGTGAATTTAACAGGTCTGTCCGAGTGTCATAAATTTTGCCCACGAGAAAAGGTGTGGTCTCGAGCCTGGCGATCGGTATGGTAATCTTCACAGTTGAACTGTTTTCCCTTTGTGCCGCTACAAGATCGCCATTACCGGCGGTATTATGCAAATCACCCGACACAAGCGTCAAGTGGTCGATCGAAAACCAGTTTATCGAGCTTGAAGTTTAACTACTCTACTTGAAATCGTTGGACCAGTTTCAAAGCTTCCAACTCTGCGGGCCTCCGTATACCATTAAATAAACATCGAACCTTGATCCTCGTTACGGGAATCGCTTTACCTCTTCGTTTGCATAAATTACCCTCGAACAAAGTGGACTCGAAAAAAGGAATAAAATGCGGTTTAGGAAACGACTGTAGTTATCGCGCGTTCCGTAGGCCACTCGTCGACGAGAATCGTATTCGACGATGACCAGTCCACGCGAACAACCGAAAAATACGAACACCAATAAGAGAACGAATCGTCGTTTCTTTCTATTCTTTCAATGGTATCGTTTCGATGGTGTCTTTATTTTATATTTCTTTCCCAATAATTTCTGTGTTTACATTTGGTGTCGCAATCAGACTGTAACGTGAGTCCGATGAAAAGCCAAACTGATCACAGTGGTCAGTAGAATTATTGATAAACCTACCTCTGCTACGAAATACATGTTTACTGAAAATAAGAGACAACACGAAATTGATCAGTTTGGCTTTGGGATGGCTCCTTATTCTTCTGGTTAAGTCAAGTACGATCATCGTGGAGACACGCCTGCCAGTATAAGAAAAAAAACCTGCATGAAACGCGTGTTTCGCGAAGTTTTCTCCCGATTGATCGAGCCTGCTTTAGCATGAACACTTGCTCACGGGTCGCACAATGGATTCTTCGTCATGGCTTGTCGTTGGATCCGGTCAACCGCGTACAAATAAGATTTCCGAAACGGTCGTGGATGAATTGCGAGACGAACTCGATACAGTCGACACGCGATCAACCGCCACCTCGACAGGATTTCAGGAGGATTTGTTGGATTATTAGAAAGCGAGAGAATCGATGCACTGGAAAGTTAAACTGATGCAGTTTAGCTACAAAATATAAACGTGAAAAAAAAAAAATATCATTCGCGTCGCTGCGACTCGGTTCTGTCGAAACAGTCATCGATCGGTCACCTAGAAAAGAACTGGTTTTAATTACACAACTTCGCGCAACAAAACGAAAATAAGAGAGAGAGAGAAGCAGAAATGAGAGCTTTGACGCACGTATTTTCGAACGAATGACGACAGTTCTTTTTTTCCCCTGAATGATGACTGCAGCGAGGGGAAACGCACAAACAGACAGACAGACAGACAGACAAGCAGACACAACGAGGTACATGCATGGGACAGGGAAAGCAGGCGGGATTCGTTTGCCGAAGCAATTGATTCTGAATTTTCTATCTGTCGGTACGAATGACGGCCAGCAAACATAATTACCGGCTTTAACGGCGACGTTTGCTAATTAGGAACTCTTTTTGTACGGGGACGACGCGCAAACACATCGACGCAACGCTTCTCCTCTCCCCGCCGTGATGCTCTGTTGACGGATTGAATTATTAAAAGGGTGCGTTTCAGGGCTGCAACCTTGTTCACGTCCGACAAACTCTCACCGCGTTCGGATTGCGTCAGAATTTTTAATTCTTCCTGTCCGACCGCCGTGACGCAAAGATGAAAAAAAACAGATGTAGAAATAGAGAATAGCGCAACGATAGAGAAGGATTTCCTGTTGTGCTTAAACAAACGAACTCGCGACACTCTACATCATGGGAGATTTTCTATAGGAATCAGTGATAAGCTATCATGAATGAACTCTATGATCGAATAAGAAAACACACGGATTCCCATTATCGTCATGAAAATTGATAATAATGTTTTATTTTTAAATTCTCACGAATTCCAAATCCGCATTTCCAGTGCATCATAAAAATCTTAGAACGTTCTCTAAGATGTACTCTCGTAAAGACATAAATCCTCTCGGGGTGGCGTGTATCGTCTTGTCTCAATAAATTCTGTTCTGCATTCTGTTTCTCTGCGCTTTTCGACGACCGGCACGTTGCCCGACTTCCACGTTTTATTCGGGATTTCGAGATTCGACGATGCGACTGTCGGAGAAAAAGAGATAGAGTAAAATGCAAAGGAACGAATCGGAAAATTCGTACAGTGTAAAAGAAAATACTGTAAACGAGAGAAAAGGTGGCCGGTAGGTCTCACTGCACACACGGCTTATTGCCTTTTCACGTATACTACTTGGACCAGTTCCTTTGTTCTCTAGTTTTGTTTCCGTTTCTGGTCAGTCTCTTATTATCGTTTCGTTTTTTGTTAACTTTTCTTTTCGATACTTTTCTACACTCGATTCTATGAGTTGCCTTATCATTATTTGCGCTCCGTTATTATATTTATTTTCCTTGCGAAGTACGTCGCATTACGGGCGAACACGCTATAATATTCTGATCTAATTGGGGGTGAGTTGGTCTCTGGGACACAACAAAAAAAGTAACCACGATCCAGATGACCTGCGGGTCGTACAACGATACAAAGACCAATATGCATGCGTGGCACGAGATAAGGTAGATTTTACATTAGGTATATTATACTTACTACATTGCGCTTTTATATCTCAATCTCTCTTTCACGAACCCACCACCGTCTATGATATATTACATTCTCTCTGAGTTTCTCGTTTTACTAAGTTTCTCTGCTACAAACTATTATACATTTATTTTTCTCTGTTTCTGTCTACTACTATCTTGGCTTACAGTACATGATTTTAATTATTGGCCTTCGTATGTACCACAGACTATCTTTCTCTCTTTCTCTGATTTCTCTTGGTTACGTTCTTCACGATAGACGTCTGATCAGAAGTCCTCCACTTCTGATCCCGGTTATCCCATTTTTAAAAGTCATTTTAGAACCGATCGACCGACTCATCACTTCGTGACGTGGATAAACGTGATAAATCGAGTTTCGATTGATCGAAAGAATTTCTTGGAGGAAATTAATCCTATGACGATAAAACTTCGTAAATCTAAAGTGATTATAGGCAATGTCACAGGAAAATTAAAATAATATTTAAATGCTCGTCAAAATCATTTTGATAAAATTTTTTCTATCAAGCAAAAAGAATAATTTGTATGAAAAATATCTCTTGATATAAAAACTTTATACGATTTTTCCCTAGCATCGTTAATAAGCCAAGATCTAAGATATTTAAAATGAAAACTAATTTCTGTGATCCGTGCAAGCTTCAGCAAATTTTGACCCAGTATCAAAAAGCTGTACAATTAAGAAAGAAAAAGAAAAGGCTCGAGTCGTGTCGCTTATGAAAAACTGTCGCGTTTTCCTTGTTTCATCGATGCACCGCGAATAGCGTTTTACAATGTAGTAATTCACCAGTGTGGGAATCTAGCAATTCTGCAACCTCCGTCCAATCATTTCTTTGATTAATCTCGATATGCAAATAAGAAAAAAGAGCGCGCCTCGCGCGAGGATAAAGCACCGCTAAGCAACTTTCGAACACTCGAAGAGATCAAAAGTCAGCGAAAAGTGTAACAATGGCAACGGACCGAACGATCTCCGGAGTACGTGCACGCTTTCGCTTCTTCACGGCTTCGCAAGAGAACTTCCTTGTTAATCCTCTTACGTATATATCTTTACACGCTCATACGTCTCTAATTTTATCACGATCTCGAGGTCACGCTGCGGCGACCTTGCATCCTTTGACGTTATTTCAATTTGCGATCAATTAACGAATTGGAAATAACGTCACGAGAGGACAAAAACGTCGCGCGACGTTAGTCTACGACTGTCTATTCTTTTTTTTTCTCTATTTTTCTGTCTTTCTCTTAGTCTGCTCCTCCTTTCGTTTTTCGTTCGTTTCTCTTCGCCTCAATCCCTTCAGTTGTCCATTGTCCTCTCGCCATTCCTGTCTTAGAGAAAAGCATGGCTTCCAGCACTCTTTAGCTACAAATTACGAAGTTCGCGCGAGGGTGGGCTGCCCTGACATCATGTTTCCACCATCTTAAGCAGGGTAGAAAGTTTCTCAACACCGTGACGATATAAATCACATCTTGAGTCTAATTTTTTTTTATTTTTATTCTTTTTGACTCTGTCTCTCTCTTTATCCATTTCGAAATACGGTATAGTGACTGGAAATAATGTTACTTCGTACTCCCAGTATTTATTCGAGATTCCATTTTAGAACTTGAAGTCTGTTTAGCGTTGAAAATAATATTATTCTCAGTCACTGTTTATCGATTGCAAACACCTCTAACGCAAATGAATAAAAATATGATCAGATTCATGTTCCATCGTCGATGATGTTTTTTTGAGAGCGTAAAAGTGTTTGCAATACTCGATAAGTATATTAATGATGTATACATATTTATGCGTAAAGTGTATATTTTTTTGTCGAACGCGTGCACTGTAGGCTAGCCTAGATGATGTTGCAGATAGAAGACCAATCATACTTCCGGTTCTCATGTTTTAGGATTATAAATATTATATATTATGTAATATACGAAGAGAATCCTAGATATATTTAACCACCCTAGACATCTCGTTCCTGTTCACGACAAGGAGCAAGAGAGAATGCATCTTCTACTTATCTCTCTCTCTTTTTTTTTTTACTCTTTTCATTTCGCGTCTTCTCTTAATTTACGATTTGATTTGGGTCTCGTTTTGTTCACTGTACATAGGGTATACGTTATTACGAGTATGCATTTGCGGTATGTTATCTACGTTTTGCGATCCGGTAGAAATTAGTTGCCGGAGTTTCTGTTCCGTCGGGTTCGACGGGGAGACTCCATTGTAATCAGCAGACTTTTACATTGGTTCGCTGCACACCGACGAAGACTGTGTTTCCGAGTTTTACTATTTCGTTGGTCCGCGCGGCACGGTCGATGAGTTCGTCGGGGGAATTGCAGGTTGAACGATTTTAAAATTGCACTGTCTACCTAATGATCTCCGTGGAACGTTGGGAAATAATTCAACGACTAAATTGGGTCGCTAATATTTTCGAAAACACGGCTGATCTGCGCTGAGTTTTGTTTTCAGTTAAGGAAATGACGGAGATAAGATTACCTTGAACGTTAGTCGTGAATATTAATACCGTCAGATATGGTACGTAGTACATGAATGAAGAATTAGCTACTCATTGTCGGCAGTTATGCATAAAATTTTCGAGAAAGTTCGTCGAGAGTCTCGCAGATGCTGGGAGCTACTGGAGGAGTTGCAGACCAAGCGAACTCATTGATCGCATTTTTCGTAATTAATGCGTGGTACGCAAGAACGTAGGGAAGTGGGTCGGTCAGTTTCGATCTCACGTCTCAGTAAAAATTTTCATATTAATTCCACTAAAATAAAAAATAATACTACATCCTCTCATATTTAATTAAAAGGTCCCTTGATAAATTTGATATTGAAGAAGCGAACCACTGTAAAGAATACAGACGGTATTCTCTCATTGGGAAAGATACGTAGATGCATGCTCTGATCTCTTTCCCTCATTCTTCTTTTTCTCTGTTTCACCCGCCCCTTAGGATTGTCCCATTGTTCGACAGTATAACTCTCACTGGACTCTCGACGTCATAGTCTCGACTAGTCGACTAATTCGCAGACAATCTTCGCCGCGAGAGAATCTAGTTCAATCCCATCCCCTGACGTATAGAGTATGTCGTACGCGCATAAACGTATTCTCTCCGAGCGGATCACAAAGTGTCCTGGATTCCTCGGGTTCCGGTCCCTAATAGCGCAAAGCTATCGTCAGAAATACCAAGCTGTACATTGCTATATACGCGCGCTGGGTTAACTCGCTCTTAACTAGTGTGCTAGCGGAATAGAGATAGAGAAGGATTTTTACAGGATATAATAATTCCACATTCCATAATTCTAAATAACTTTTAATACCTCGCAGTAACAGTTATTCATGTTAGTGTAAAAAGCAGAAGACAGAAACTATTTAGGGGATGATTAAAGATTAACAGTTTTAGTAACATTTGCTGATGACAGGGTTTTTCTATCAATTTCCAATGAGTTTTCCTCGGTTCATACGAACTATAAACAATTTGATTTCCGATTGGCAGAAGTAGACAGGAAATTGAAACAGCCACGATTTATATTTTAAGATCAATCGATTATTTGTCTCGCGATTCTCTTACGTTTCTTTACTTAAATCATTTTAATTGTATTCCTTAGTTCTGTGAAAATATGCAAATGCGTGTGTGTGTCTGAGTGACGAAAATTAGTTATAAGGTACACGTCGTTACAAAAGGACGAGAAGACGTTTTGCTTGTTTCTCGCTCGAGTCCCAGGAAGTCGGGACGTCCCGCTAGTCGAGATGGAATAGACCGTGAGAACGGACTCTTGATCTAATTTACGGTTTGATGCAACGATAGAATCCAAGACGATCGATGGATCATCGACGGTGAATGAATCTAGAAAATTGTTTTCCGTTTTCTTCTTGTAATTTTATCTATTCGAAGGATGATGTGCATTGACGTTTTAGTTTGTTTTTTATTTTATTCCTTTCGTTAATCGGTTATCATTTGTTTACCGGTTAGTCTTGTAATTTTAATTTTGTCTTGATCGACGATCCTCGAATGTGAGACGTGCGAGGAAGCAGGCAGATTGACACTTTAATTTTTAGATATATTTTATCGGTGTCTTCGTATATACCCTTCGAAAAGCACTTCTCAAAAACGAATCCCCGTAATCGGCGACACTTTTTTTTGTTGAGCGTTGGATTTTGTTCGTCGTTGTTACAGATGGGTAAGCTTGGTAGCAATCCATTGGCTGGACTCGCTGCTCTAGGCCTCGGGGGTCTTGCCACACCTGCCAATACAGGCGGATTAAATCCAGCAGGTATTCAAACGATCTTCTCGCAATTGAACTATTCTGTGCACATAAAATTTACGATTCAAATAAGTGTTCTGCAATCCATGATTTAGTCAATGTTTTACGATTCTTGCATAAATTATCAAAATACACCGATATGTTATTCGATATCGATATCTTTTATTAGTCACGTGTAAATAAATCAGTTTCAAATACTTTGCACAAAATTGCGGAATTGAAACCGTAAGAAAGACTCAAAAGCGTGAATAATCTTTGCTGGGTAGCATTAGCGGCACTCGCTGGTAGCCAGCTGCGCACTAGCAACACGAACAGGCAACAACCGGCGGCGAACAATCAGACGCACGAGATGACCGTGCCGAACGAGCTGATCGGCTGTATCATCGGCAAGGGTGGCACCAAGATCGCCGAGATCCGTCAGATCTCCGGCGCGATGATCAGAATCAGCAACTGCGAGGAGAGGGAAGGCGGAGCCACGGATCGTACGATCACTATTACCGGAAACCCGGACGCTGTGGCATTGGCACAGTATCTCATCAGTATGAGGTGAGTACCGTGACACCGGAGTTCGTCGTCGCTCCGGTTTGTCCATTATAATCGCAAGAGAAACAGTGATTCGAGAGGAACGTTGGAGGTTCTTATGATCAACGTATTACATTTTGAACAGATCACTTGATTTCTTCAATGACAAAAGATACTCATGAAAGTATCGTATTTTATATTTTTATACAACAAATCCTTGGCACTAACGAAGATGAAGTCAAAGGAAGGGAAATTGTTTCATAGATAATCGTTCAACGTTCCTCCGATTCGATTCGTTTTCTGTCTACTCGAGAAAATATTTAAATAATTCTTCCATTGTCCCCGTCGAACTCGTCCCGGCTACGTTTTGATAGATCACGACACATCACCGCCACCGACCCCCTCAAGAAAAGACCCACCTGCCCTATAATAACTTTTTGGTTTGTTCCCCAATTTGGAATCCGACCGATGAATAATCGTTGGACCGATTGTATACATGTGACCGATGTCCAATTATTTTATATTTATCCCCCCGCCGATGACGGAGAATAGCGCTCCACTTTCACCACCGGTCGACGAACCCTAATGATTCGCCTGTTCTTTTTCTTTGTGTTTTATTCGTTCCTCCTGTAATCGACCTTTCTTAGCCTTCTGGTGCGTTGATGGTGAGACTATTAGGGAATAGTCTGATCGCCGTCATCGCGAACATCTCCCATCATGTTTGTTGTTGTTACTGTTGCATCTGGCAGCGACGCGCTGGTTACAATGACTCCACTGAGATTCCCTTAGTTAGATAGTTACTTTTTTTTTCTTTCATTAAATTCACCTCACAAAGTGACGTTGTACTTACTGTTAAATCTTGGCACGCGACTTTCATGCAAAATGTGTGTACACGAATACTGCTCTAAAGTTTGGAACACCGTTCGCTCGGCTCCTTCGAAACGTACGTTGCTCTGCTAGTTTCTATTCAACCCAGAATGCAATTTTATCACTACAGCTTAGTATCTCCAGTAGAACAATCGTTTAAGTCAAGCCCCCGAATTTTTGAGCAGTAGAACGGATACTCTTTCAAAACTAACGACAGACAGGGCTCTATTTATAAGTTCCGTAATTAACGAGGAACGAGGAAGGTATGTCATTTTTCCGGCGCGTCGACGCCAGAAAAGTATCACGAAAGAGGTGGTGGTGCGGCAACGAGAATTTTTTCTCCCTTCGGAAGCTGTTGCACAGTCGGAAAAGAGAAGGCGATCCCTCGCAGTGTGTTTAGGTTTGTGAACCGCCACCTCGGTCTCTCTAGCGATACAGGTGTGATGTTTTCGTAGCGAAGTAAGGTTACATAGCCGGAGAAGACGCCGCGGCATCTGCGAAAGGGATCAGCGTCTGCGTTGCGGAGTCGCCGGAAGACACCTTCGTCTACCACGACGGGAAGAGGATGTTCTTAATCCTTTGTTTCCAGGTCCTGCTTTCCAGGTCCAGTACCCTGAGTATCCTGCAGACACATCTCCGCTCAACATCTGTTTCCCATTTGTCGCTGGCTGTCCTTTCAAGCAAAAAAAAAAAGATTTTTTAAAAAGAGATATTTATATACAATCACGATGACATATATGACACCAATAATCAAATGATTCTAGCGATATGTTCTTCCGTTAATGTTGACGATTTAATCCCGATGCGTCCCACAAAATGCGATTATATATCATCACAGCTCCCTTTTAACCAACTCCGATTGCATATATCCTCTTTTTTAGTATCAGAATTTTTTTTTCAATCAGATTCCCTTTTGGCGACAGCTCTAATAATTTCTGTTACTACCGCAATTAATACGACGCTTGATATAACTTTCTTACGTAGCTTAATTCAAATCGGTTTTAATCAGAATATTGAGTTACCACTATGAGGATCGCTTTCGATATTGCTTTCGCCAAAAGTATCACGCAGTCGCATCTTTCGTATTTTATTTTTTACGTATCCCTCGCTGCTGATCATTATAGAAACAGTGAACGTCCACGGATGCCGATCTGTTTTGTCTCTCCCCGATTCACTATTTATATAATATAATGACAACGTGCTATGGGACTAATACATTTTACTATTTTTTATGGCAACATTCTTGTATGCCGATAATCGAAAAAAAAAACGGATGCATACTAACGTAGTCGCTGACGAGATTCGAGATAATTAAAACGCGTCCGATAGCGCGTGTTCGAAATTTTTTTTTTTTTTTCTAAAAAAAAAAGAAAACCTCTAAAAACGAGCGGATTACCAATCCTCTTGTCTCCCCCTCCTCGAGATAGCACGAGATTACCAACGATCAGTTATTATATTTAGCCGCCCCCGAACGCAATCCACTTCACACTCGGTTTCTTCCCAGTTGTTACGAGATTGTAACCTGTATTATATTTTACATTCCAGATTGTCACTTGTTATATTATATACGTATATATTTTATACTAGTGCATTTGAGAATAGCGACACGATAAGTTCTTTCACGCTGATCGTGTCATTATCCCGTTTAATTACTTCTACTTTGGTAATATACCTGTTCGCCGAACTTGACCGTCACGATTATTACGTATATCGTGTTATATCATCCCCCCGAACGTACATATCTCCCGCGGCCCAAGATCTGCACTCTGCCGCGACCAATTCTGCTTCCCGTCCGCGCCGTGATGTACGAGCCAATTATCGCGGCGAGCGATTTGCTAAATCAGCGAACACGATAGACGCTATCGGAGTTTCCGGTAATACTCGTGGAGGCAGAGTGCAAGTGCTGAGCCCCAGTTTAGTTTGACTTCCGCTTTTCAGTGACTCGCAGAGCCATTCTACGTGCCGTCCAAAGTATCCGCGACACGATACGCTTTGACTAAACGAAAATAAATGCGAAAACGTTCTAAGTCCTTTTTAATAATTTATAACGAGTTTCTCTATCGCGTGTAACGGATTATGGCTCTGCTACGCCAAAAAAATGGACAGTGCATATTCGTAATTATTACAATTTTGAAAGCTTCGATAAGAGCTATAATTATTTATTGTCGCAACGAATATGCGTTCATTTTGATGGCGAAAAGACTCCTCGCAGCGCGTCCTCCGCGTCGGGACGCCGTCCCATTGACCGTCGAAGTACCATTGCACGAAGCGTGGCTGACTGTCTCGTTTTAAAGTAAACGAAACAGACAGGCTCCGATGGCCGGTCCAGGTCACCTCGAGGCACCGACGGAACGGTGTCCCGACGCCGGAAAAGCTCCCCCGACCACAGCCACCCACGAACAACCACGTAGCCGGTGTACGTGAGAGTATCACGCTCCATAGAACATACCTGTGGCATAACTCTCTCTGCGAAGCCTGTTGAAAACCTTTTGCGACTCAGACCTTTTTTTCTCTATTTTTTTTTCACCCGACATGTGTATCACACTCAACGACCACCCACGATCATCGTCACGCTCTATCGAGATCTGTCCTCTCTGTTTAATCGATATAACAACTTACTCACTTCGCTGTATCTACCCCGAAACACGTGTTTTATTTCTTTTTCTCTCTCTCTGTTATTTATGTGTACATCTCTGAAACGCTTCTTTTCGTTTCTGTTAGGCATTGGAAAAAGCTCGCATGGGAAATGCATACAAAACACGAGTAATCACATATTTCCTTTAATCTAGCTTTATTTGACGAAGTAATTCGTTTGGATATCGCTCCAGGTTTTTAAGCCTTTGAAATCTTTTTTCTGATTTCATTGCTCGATATCTATCTCCTATGGCCAATCGTAAAATTAAAAGTTTGTTTTATGAAGATTTGAAATGTATGACGATCTCTGCGTCGAGTAAAGTTAGCTTGATTACTTGGATTCTGTAGTAAACATTCGAGCTTTTTCCTTTCTCTCTGTTCATTTATCAAAACACTAAAAGAAAGACACTGACACCCTTATACGAAACCGCCCCGACGCGCATAACACCGCGACACATACAATTTATACAATACATACTGTTTTTTACGAGAGAAACGTTCCCACCCTCACCTTTTTACATTTTGTGTCTTTTCCCCAGTGTTGAACTGCAGAAAGCTAACCTAGAGGCCCAAAATACCCAAACCCCTGGCAGCGGTACCACTCCCGGGGCATCCGGGGCCAGTGCTTCTCCCTCTACCACCACTACCACTGCCTCTCCCTTGGCCAGCGCCATTCCCTTGGCTCAGCTGCTAAGCAAGCCAGGCGCCTTGAACGCCCTATCTAGCCTGACCGCCCTCGGCGGACTCACGGAATTGCTAGGTGGTGCCGCAGGCGCGGCTGCATCCGCGCTTCCGGTCCAGACAACCGGCGTGCACCGCTCGCACAAGTTCACGCCGAGGCTACGTAGCCCGGGCGCGCCTGGGCCCACCGACAGTGGAAAATTCAAATCAGAGCGCACCAAGTACAACCCGTACTGAGCCACCGACGATGGGACACAGCCAACGGAGAGACGCGACAGGGAGATCATTATTATTATTATTACACGTACACGCATTAATAATCATGAACGTCACTATCGACACCGCCGCGATCATAACGCGAGCGCGAATCAGCGCGCGATTCGCGTTGGAGAAATGTGCGTACGGACGCCAGGGTAGCGCGAGTCCGGCCTCGAGGCTTGGCCAAGGATCGAACCCACTCGCGGGATCACGTACGTTACCGCAAAACTCCGTTTATTGCAATTAATCAGTTGGAATAATTCTCATCAGGCATGCGTTTCTTTTATCACCCAACTTTTTACATTGCTTATTTTTGTCTGCTCAAATACGAACTTTGTTTACTTGCTTTTCTCGATCGAGTGGTATTTGATTAAGTATTTTTTTGTAGTATCTTTATCGATTTATAGTAACAGTTTACCTCGTTGTTGACTATGTATTTGAGACGATATTATTTTGTATCAGTAAACGGATAAACGGAGCTTTAGCTGTAATCGTTTTAAGCAGAGCTGGAAAGTTACTTGTATATATGACATGTATTCATATCAAGTAGGAGTTATGAAGTTTATATAGATCAATTTCAACAT